ACACTTCTGAGTCCTACACAATATTTCTTTGAAAATGGAGACTGAGTCCACAAATTATAAGTAGAAATGCTGTATAGGCAACAAAAGAATTAGTTGCATCCACTAAGAACATAGAAGGCCATTTAATTCATGACCCTGACTAAATACATAAAATATTTGCCCACTACAAAAGGCTTTATACCATGCTTTTCAATTAATTGACAATAACTCACTGGGTGAAAACTATGTTTAAGAAATAATTAAACCAAATGTGGAAGAAATTGATAAGGAACTATTCAAAACACCTATTGCATAAGACAAAATAGAGAATAATGAACATGGTATCGAATAAGGCTTGATCCTGTGCCCACTGAAGTCAATGGCAAAGCTGTCTTAGACTTCAATGATACAATGTTTAGACCCATAATGACTAGGGTCTGATGGCTTTGCTGTTTTCAAAAAAGCATATAAATATTTATTTTCCCAAAATTAGCTCTTTTATTTCAAAAACTTATCAGGACATTAAATTGCCTACTTTGGCAAAACATCCATTCCTGGTATTTTAAACCCTGATAAAAATCCAATTTTCCCCCTTCATTCTGCCGATTTTTTACTAAATATTGGTAGAAATATTTCACCTACCACAGAATTTTAGCCATTTGAATGGATAATTTAGTATCAAAATTAATTTATGCAGATTAATCAGGCCTTAATAGGGGATAACATGCCTCAGAAAACATAAGAAATATAGGAATTATCCATTCACTTGGACTGACCAAGACAAATTACATCAATCAAAATTAAAGACGAATCAGGGTCTATTTAGCGGGCACAAGGATAACATAAAAATAAAGTATGTAAATACTCACACAAGTCAGGGGAGAGGAGAAAGAAACCAAAGTGTTATTGTGGGAAAGGAGGGTGTGGAGAAGACCTGAAATTGACTATATGAAACAGAAAACCACTGGAGTTGGTTACATATGAATATCAAAGCTGCCTGGCCTAAACATTTTGTCCTTTTGTAATAAAAGAAGAAAGGAGAGCCAGTGAGGCCAAGATCTATGGCATGATTCCAGGAACAATAGAAGGCTTTCTCGAGTGGGACAAGGTCCAGTCATGAATTGGTCTAATGTCATCATGTGGGTGTTAATTTAGATTTCTAAAGACTGATGATAACTCATTTTGCCATCAATAAAGATAACTGTACAAACCTTTCCATATGGCACTATAAGCAGGGTTTCTTAGCTGGTAAAATGTGTGATACATTTGATGTATTAGCACTTTTTCTTTTAATCATTGTAATTGATTTTATAATGAAATGTTGTGTACAGACATTCTGGTTTTGTCTACACTCCAAAACTTCTAGTTGTTATCAGAGAAAGTCATTGAGTGACCTTGGCTTTGCAGATGGCAGAGTAGTTTTGGAATCAAGTTGCTGTATGAAGTGTTTCTTTACAGGAAGAGTTACAGCAAGTTATTTGCCAGAGATTAAATTCTGTCAACTTGGCCCTTGCAAGTTTCACTTAAAAATCCATTTACCTCCCATTCCTAGTTAGGTTCATGTTGGGATACTACTAAAGCACTGCTACTAACATGGGTCTTAATAAGAAGTCAAGAAACAGGGCATGTGGGGATCAGTAATACAGATCCTTTGTGGTTCACACTATAACCTGAAACTGTTTGGTTTAAGGCTTTTTTTTTCTGCACATGCTCCAAGTTTGCCAAAGTGTTTTTTAAACCTTCTAATACTCATTCTAATCCCAAATTTGAAGTTAAACTATGGGAGTGCTAACTCAGATCAGCTGAAACAAAGTCAGCTTCACTGGGATCGCCAATAACCAATCAGCTTCAGTTCAGATGCATTTTGTGCCAAAGTACTGAAAGCACTTCAATCTGTTATAGACAGGAGAAAATCAAAGGGCCTCAAAGAGTGATAGCGGAGAGTGAATATTCATTCAGGTAAGCATGGGATGAAATTTGGTTTGAGAAAATAATTTATGTGAAATTGCCAAAGAGCTGATTAAAAATTACTTTGCAGAAAGGACAATTACCAAGAGCTATCGTGATGTTGACAGGGAAACAAGCGGACCGAGTGAATGGAATTCAAAGTATGTACAGTGTTTTTCTTCCCCCCTTCCAACCTATTTTATCTGTGGATGGGGAACTGGGAAGCCCTCACAATGTAAACTTTTAAAAACTGCATTTATTTAAAGGCACATACAAAAGCAAAATGTCTCCATCACTGCAGAATTTTGAAATATAAATAAGATATAATAGAAAAACTTTCTCTCAGTCACAAGATTTAAAAGATGATCACAAACTTATAACCTTAAACTGCAATCAACAAATCTTCATGAGAAAATGTAGATATTGCCTTGAATTTGATTAAAATGGTTAGTGTCTCTTTAATGCACAGTCCCACTTTGTAGGTCTGATGAAAATGTATCAACTCCCAGAGGCATTGAGCCTAACATAGCCACAGTGGCTCTCAGAGCTCCAGCTACTCTTAAGGCAAAGCTCACTTTGCTGTCTGGGGTGATGTAATCTGGACATAATAGAATACTATTCTAGTTTTGGGAGGCTAATCCTAATGCCAGCCTTGCATCAGGCAAGCACAAGGAACAGATTGTGCCCTACCCTTGCATGAGGGCTGCCCTCTTGATTGAACTGGGGACCTTCAGGATTAAAAGCATGAAGAGCTACACCTTGAGCTAGAGATCCAAGCCTCACTATGTGTGGCTATAGCAGACTTATCTTATATAGATTCAGCACAGAAGAGGTTCTAGAACACATGCTCACCAGCATGTTACACTGGCACAAGGGCATATATAAGGAGGAAGGTTCCTTGTGTCTTCCTCCCCTTGTGCACACATGTAGTGCTGGACATAATACAGCCCTCAGAGTCAGAAGAGAAAATTCAGTACACACCTTCTGAATAAATGGTGGCCAAATAGATATACATCTTAATTATGACCTTATGTTTCTTCCAGAAACACATTACACACTTAATGTGTACACATATCTCAACCCTGATAGTTGTTAATGTCACTAAAGTTATAATTAAAGCTTCGTGTCATACTGTGTGGGAGATTAATGTGTAGTGTGTTTCCTAACTGTTGGAGATTGAAGGAAGCTCCTTGTGAAAATATGGAGTCTGTTACTCTCAGTGGAAATGTTCTGTGTGGGCAATAGGCTGCAGTTTAAGAGATGTCCCAGAGCAAGGAATTTTCTTGCTTCTTAGGGTATATCTACACTATGAAATTAGGTCGATTTTATAGAAGTCGATCTTTAGAAAGCGATTTTATACAGTCGATTGTGTATGTCCCCACTAAGCGCAGTAGGTTGGCAGACTGTGTCTTCAATACCAAGGCTAGCATCGACTCACGGATTGGTGCACTGTGGGTAGCTATCCCACAGTCCCTGCTGCCCATTGGAATTTTGGCTTAAGCTCCCAATGCCTGATGGGGCAAAAACATTGTCGCAGGTGGTTTTGGGTACATGTCATCAGTCTCCCCTCTCTCTCTCCCTCCCTCCTTGAAAGCAACAGCAAACAATTGTTTTGCACCTTTTTTCCTGGGTTACCCGTGCAGACGCAATAGCACAGCAAGCATGGAGCCCACCCAGCGCTGCTGTTGTGAGCATTGTAAACACCTTGCGCATTATCCTGCAGTATGTGCAGAACCTGGCTAGGAGACGCCAGCACGAGGACAATTGTGAGGAGGACATGGACACAGACATTACTGAAAGCATGGGATGTGGCAATTGGGACATCATGGCATCAGTGGGGCAGGTTGATACAGTGAAACACCGATTCTGGGCCCAGCAAACAAGCACAGACTGGTGGGACTGCATAGTGTTGCAGGTATGGCATGATTCCCAGTAGCTGCGAAACTTTCGCATGCGTAAGGCCACTTTCATGGAACTTTCTGAGTTGCTTTCCCCGGCCCTGAAGCACAGGAATACCCAGATGAGACCTGCCCTGACAGTTGAGAAGCGAATGGCGATAGCCCTGTGGAAGCTTGCAATGCTTGACTGCTACCGGTCAGTCGGGAATCAATTTGGAGTGGGCAAATCTACCATGGGGGCTGCTGTGATCCAAGTAGCCAAGGCAATCAGTGACCTTCTGCTAGCAAGGGTAGTGACTCTGGGAAATGTGCAGGTCATGGCTTTGCTGCAATGGGGTTCCCTAACTGTGGTGGGGCAATAGACAGAACGCATATCCTTATCTTGGCACCGGACCACCTTGCCAACCAATAGGTAAACCGCAAGGGGTACTTCTCAATGGTGCTGCAAGCCCTGGTGGATCACAAGGGCCGTTTCACCGACATCAATGTGGTGAAAGGTGCATGACACTCACATTTTTAGGATCTCTGGGCTCTTCAAACAGTGCAAGAAGGGACTTACTTCCCAGACCAGAAAATTACCGTTGGGGATGTTGAAATGCCAATAGTTATCCTTGGGGACCCAGCCTACCCCTTGCACCCATGGCTCATGAAGCCGTACACAGGCAGCCTGGACAGTAGTAAGGAGCAGTTCAACTATAGGCTGCGCAAGTGCAGAATGGTGGCAGAATGTCACTTTGGATGTTTAAAAGCTCGCTGGCACTGTTTGCTGACTAGGTTAGACCTCAGCACAACCAATATTCCCATAGTTATTGCTGCTTGCTGTATGCTCCACAATATCTGTGAGAGTAAGGGGGAGACGTTTATGGTGGGGTGGGAGGTTGAGGCAAATCGCCTGGCGGCCAGTTTTGCACAGCCTGAGACCAGAGCAATTAGAAGAGCACAGCTAGGTGCGCTGCACATCAAAGAGGCTTTGAAAAACAGTTTCATGACTGGCCAGGCTACGGTGTGACATTGTGTGTGTTTCTCCTTGCTGCAAACCCTCCCCCTTTGTTGAATTTACTTCCCTGTAAACCAGTCCTCCTCCCCCCTTTGACCACAGCTGGCAAAGGAAATAAAGTCCCTATTGTTTTGAATCCATGCATTCTTTATTTATTTTTAAAAAAGGGAGATCACTGACAAGGTAGCCTGGGTGGGGTGGGGCAGGAGGGAAGGACAAGGCCACATTGCTTATTGTAGCCACACTACAAATCAAAGCTGTTTGAATGACGGCTTTGTTACTTGGGCCATCCTCTGGAGTGGAGTGGCTGGGTGCCTGGAGCCTCCCCGCCACGTTCTTGGGCATCTGGGTGAGGAGAATATGGAACTTGGCGAGGAGGGCAGGTGGTTATACAATGGATGCAGTGGCAGTCTGTGCTCTTGTTGCCTTTCCTGCAGCTCCACCAGATGCCTGATCATGTCCGTTTGCTCCCCCATTAGCCTCAGCATCTCCTCCTGCGTGTTCTGATCATGCTCACTGAATGCTTTCCTGGCCTCTGTCACTGAATGTCTCCATGCATTTAGCTGTGCCCTATCAGTGCAGGAGGACTGCAGGAGCTTGGAAAACATGTCATCGCAAGTGTGTTTTTTTCGCCTTCTGATCTGCGATAACCTCAGGGACAGAGTTAATTCAGGGAGCATAGAAACATTTGTTCCTGCAGGGGAGATAAAAAGGGAGAGTAAAATTTAAGAAGATACATTTCTGAGAATAAAGGGGAGACTCTTTCACAGTGAGTCAAGCAATTCACAGCAGACAGCACATGTGCTTGAGGTACAAGGTCGCATTTTGCCTTTTATATTGAGCACCTGCCAGTATGGTGACACATCACACATGGCTGGGCAACAGAATTCGGTTTCTAGGCAGCCATGGTAAGCCAAAAGGTACATGGGGTTGGCTTCTTCCACCTTCATAACATGTGGGAATGATTTCAAACTGCAGCACTCTCCTTTCCCATAGCAAGTAATGCCAGTTGGGTTTGCTGTTTAAAAGGAGGGGCTGCGGTTTTGGGTTGGATGTGCAGCACACCCCTCCCCCCACCACGTGGCTATTCTCCGGGATGATCCCTTTTAGCCAAGCACAAACAGCCCAGCATGAATGGGGTCCTTTTACTGTTCCCTTACAAAAATTCCCCTATTTCAACCAGGTGACCATGAATGATATCACTCTCCTGAGGCTGACAGAGAAAGATAAAGACCGAAAGTTGCATGAATGAGACCAAAACCCAGGACCATTCGCTACCATGCCTTGTGCTGCAATAATTCCAGACTACTTGCTACTGGCTTGGTGTGGTAAAGTGTCCTACTGTGGAGGATGAAATAAGGCAGCCCTCCGCAGAAACCTTCTGCAAAGGCTTTCAGAGTACCTCCAGGAGAGCTTCATGGAGATGTCCCTGGAAGATTCCACTCCATCCCCAGACACATTAAAAGACTTTTCCAGTAACTGTACTGGCCGCGAATGCATCCCAATTATTCAGGGCAAATGAAACATTAAACACAATTGCTTTTAACCCCTGTAGTGTCATTACAAATGTGCACTCACCAGAAGTACCTTCTCTGCCGTCAGGGTCCGGGAACCTGCCTTGGGGGGGTACTGGCTCCAAGGTGATGAAAAGGTCCTGGCTGCCAAGGAGAACAGATTCTCCGTTTGCCTGCTGCGCATTCTCCTCCTCCTCCTCTTCCTCATCCACAAAATCCTCTTTTGTCTTGTAGTACACTTGTCTGAGATCCTTAACTTTCACGCGGCACTGCTCTGTGTCCCTGGTGTAGCCTCTCTCCACCATTCCCTGTGTGATTTTGGCATATATATTAGCATTTCTTCTTTTTGATCTGAGTTCGGCCTGCACAGATTCTTCTCCGCATACAGCAATCAGCAGTATCTCCTGTTCGCTCCATGCTGGAGCTCGTTTGCAATTCTGGGACTGCATGGTCACCTGTGCTGCTGAGCTTGCCATGCTGACCAAACAGGAAATGAAATTCAAAAGTTCCCTGGGCTTTTCCTGTGTACCTGGCTAGTGCATCAGGGTTGAAAGTGCTGTCCAGAGTGGTCACATTGGAGCACTCTGGGATGGCTCCCGGAGGCCAATACCATTGAATTGCATAACACTGCATCTGCACTACCCCAAATTCAACCCAAGAAGGTGGATTTTAGCACTATTCCCCTCGTCGGGGAGGAGTACAGCAGTTGATTTTAAGAGCCCTTTAGGTCGACGGAACAGGGTTGTTTGTGTAGCCGCATTGCTTATAAAAGTTACCTAACGTGGCTAAATTCAACCTAACCTCATAGTGTAGACGAGGGCTTAGAGTTTGTGTTGGAGGGACTGTCACACATATGCAGCCTTAATCTTTTTTAATTGAGGTTTTTGTTTATGGAAGATATAAACAAAATATATCTATATATAGGGAAATCAACCATTTGAAAGAATGGCTATCTGGAGCCAAAGACAAACTAAAGTTTGAAGACTGAAACTTTTAGAGGAGGGGTATCAAATATATGGCCCATAAATAAGGTGTATTTATGTGGCCTGCCTGATAGATCCAGATTGTGCAGAGTCTCAGCTTGCATTTAAAAAAAGTTTCTGTCCCTCTGTGTTAGAGGAAAGGACAGAAAGACAAAGAAATATATGTGGGCCTATGCTTCCTGTTTCCTTAGATTGGACCCTCCCTGTCCAGCGTCTGTCAACTGGTAGATTTGATTTTCCCATAAAGGGTCCCTTCCACCTCAAATAACAAAGAGTCAGTTGGGATAAGGTGAAAAACAACTAAAGTGTAATGAAGAATTGGTGTACAATGAATAGGCCAAAGAAAAGGAGGGAGTAAACAGTAAAATTATGCAATACAGTGATTCCTCAAAATAAACCCTATAAACAGGTAAGTAAACCCCTCAATAGAAACCTTCTTCTATAGATTAAGCTTCGATTGTTGTCTGGGACCTCAATCCTCCGGCTAGTTGAAAGCCATCGGAGAGGAGCTCCAGGGAGTCCCTTGGTGTTTCTCTGGGTCTGAAGAAGAGTAGATGGTATGTCGGGGGACAGCAGCTGCAGATGGATGATGGTAAGTGGAATGTGGCTGTCTGTCCTTCTCTTCTCCTTGCAGGTGATGGCAAATGCACATCCAAGTGGAGGCAGAGCTTTGAAAAGAAAACCCTAGCCCCCTCTACCACTAGGATGGGTAGGTAAGTGCAAGTCAGACCTGTGATAGTCCCTTGCTGTCACTCGGATGGACAGCCTCTGAGCAGTGCTCGGGACAGACTTATCTAACCTTGCCCAGGAAACTCCGTAGAAGGAGCAGGAAACCCCTTCTGGGAAACCCCATGGAAAAGGCAGTAAAAAACCCCAGTTTTATCCAGAAGTTGTTTACCACTTCTGAGGAGAAATAAAAGGTGGGAAAACTGTGATCAGCTGGGTCGCGTGGGCATAAATTCCATTTTGGGAACCAATATGGGTTCCTGAAATTATACAAAACATACAAAATGGACATAACCCAACATCTGTGATGGGGTATACAGATCCCACACTGACTAAGAAGGGATTAATGAGTGTCTGTGGGCCCATTCAAGCCCACCCCATTACACCTGGGTGAGGTATCAAACTTGGAAGGAGGAGTTAAAAGAGGAAAAGCCCATCTCAGTAGAGGCTGATTGGGAGAGGGAGTGGACCTCTTGAGCTAGTCCTGTGAAGGAAGGCCTCTGGAGCCAGAGTCTAACCAGAGATTCCTAAATGTCAGAGCCCCCTTGGGGTAGATACGTCTGGTGTGGGACCTTTTGTTCTCCATAACTAGTGTGGTTTCCCTTGTTGGGATCTACGGAACACTCAGCCTGGAAAGAGACTTTAGGAAAAGCCTAGTTGCAGGCCATGGTAGGAAGCAGCCAAGGGATACAGCAGAGGAGCTGACTAAACAGACCTTCTCCATTCATACAGGGTCCCTGGACTGGAGCCCAGACTAGGGGGTGGGTCTGAGTTCCCCTACCCACCCACCTTGGGTGGTGGTGCAAGGACCCTGGAGCCAAGGACTTGAAAGCCTACAACTCCTGAAGTTGGGCTGAAGCTCTGGTGTGGCGCTGCCAGACTACTTCTGTGTTGTTGGACTCAGTTTATCCCAGAAGGGGTGGGACTAACAGTGACCTGGCCAGAGGGTTGAGCCACAGGATAAGGCACAAGCTAAGTGCCAGCGAGGCTGTCAGCATGGGGTGACAAATGAGAAAAGGCTGCTATGGAAGGCTTTGCCTTGAAAGACCTGCCTATGGTGAAAAGACTCTTCCAAACCTCTGCAGAGAGAACCTTACAAATGAGAACCAGCTATAACTGACACAGTGGTATCTGCCCGAGTCGGCAATCAGCCTAAAACAATGAAATGGAGCAAACTCCCCCCTTTGGTATTAATCTTAGTGGAGTAACATCTCTAATGATGACAATTGAGTGTCAACATAAATATTTTCTTGCTGATCATTTTAGCAGATGGAATGGGAGTAGGAGGTGGGAGTGAAGTACACTAGGCTAGGAGTTACTATGGGGAAGGAAATGCAGAGAAAACAACAGATGAAACTCACCATAACAGGGAATGGAGAGAGGTACAGGGAAAGGAGGATGGAGAAGTTAAAAAAACAAAGGGATGAAATAGCAGTTCCCCAAAAAGGGCAGATATTCCCACTAAGAGCTGAACAAATAATAAATAACTAAACTAAACATTTAGTTGCAATATAAAAACCTCATTCTTTTCTTGATCTCTGTGAAAACTTCCGTATATTTCACTGTATATTGTGCGGAGTACTTAGTCCTGAGTTTATAACCTAGTCCACAAACCATGATTAAATATGGAAGTTGTCCCTCTCCTCCGAAATGAGCTTGACACCTCTGATCTAGCGCCTGTCATATAACCATACACATACCAGAGCATCTGATTCCAGCTGGGTGGTAATTTTTTGACAAAATGTTTTTTGGGCTTTTTGGTCAAAAAACACCAATTTGTTGAAACTGAAAGTTTTTGCAGGAAAGGGTTGGTTTTGATGAAACTTTTGTTAGGAAGACAACAAGGAGTCCGCTGGCACGTTAAAGACTAACAGGGCATAAGCTTTCGTGGGTAAAAAACCCACTTCTTCAGATGCATGGAGTGAAAATTACAGATGCAGGCATTATATAATGACACATGATGAGAAGGGAGTTACCTCACAAGTGGAGAACCAGTGTTGACAGGGCCAATTCGATCAGGGTGGATGTAGTCCACTCCCAATAATTGATGAGGAAGTGTCAATTCCAGGAGAAGCAAAGCTACTTTTATAATGAGCCACCACTGCCAGTCCCTATTCAAGCCCAAATTAATGGAGTTAAATTTGCAAATGAATTTTAGTTCTGTAGTTTCTCTTTGAAGTCTGTTTCTGAAGTTTTTTGATCTAGTATAGCTACTTTCAAATCTGTTATAGAATGTCCAGGAAGATTGAAGTGTTCTCCTACTGGCTTTAGGGTTTCTCAGGTCTAGGCTGAAATTTCCAGTCAAAAATGAAAGTGAAAGAAACTCCTCCATAGCACAACCACCCCACCTGTCCCCTAGAACAGTGGTTCTCAACCAGGGGTACATGTACCCCTGAGGTTACACAGAGGTCTTCCAGGGTGTACATCAACTCATCTAGATATTTGCCTAGTTTTATAACAGGCTACATAAAAATCACTAGCGAAGTCAGTACAAACGAAAATTTCATACAGACAATGACTTGTTTATACTGCTCTAAATACTATACACTGAAATGTAAGTACAATATTTATATTCCAATTGATGTATTTTATAATTGTATGGTAAAAATTAAAACATAAGCAATTTTTCAGTACTAGTGTGCCTTGGCACTGTTGTATTTTTATGTCTGATTGTGTAAGCAAGTAGTTTTTAAGTGAGGTGAAACTTGCGGGTACTCAAGACAAGTCAGACTCCTGAAAGGGACACAGTAGCCTGGAAAGGCTGAGAGTTACTGCTCTAGAATAGCCAATAGCTTAGTGGTTAAGGCCTTCACCTGTGCTCTGGGAGAGCTGTGTTCAGGTCTCTGCTCTTCCTGTTTTGGAGCAACAACTTGAACTGAGGTTTCCCATATCCCGTGTAAGCGTCCTAACCACCCATTCTGGGGTGGGTCTCTCGGTTTTTTGTGAAAATTTTGAAAACGTCTCAGTTGCATCCTGATGTGGAATAGAAACGGTTTTGAAATCTCAAACATTCCCACAATGGGAAAAAATATTTCCTGCCCAGCTCTACTTCACACATGGCTGGACCCAGTTATGATGCTATGTGTAAAATCAACATACTTGAGGGTCACAACTAGAAAAAGTACCTTGTCCCAAGCCCACAGGCATCAGAGTACAGACTGATTGAACAGTAACTCGTTGAAAGGGAAATGCCACTGTCCTAAATCCTTTCTACAGCCAGAACTACCACACCCATAGTGCAAGCACACACAAAACACAATAAACATAGGCATGGGAAGGTTTTAGATGGGATGTTCAGACTTGTTGGTGAACAGAGATTCACAGGAACTCATGTCAAGAAGATTTTGCCCAAAGTATGGTTTGTTCAGAGTAGAATATATAGCCAACCTGATCTGTACATGTATGCATGCACATTCCAAGCTGCTATTCCATGGATTAAATGGTTAAAGAGTCTTTTATCCAAAGTCTTTTTTTATGGTTCTTGGCAGAGTAACACAGTAATCATAGTTAATGCAGGTTTTGAAAGAAAGGGAGTGAATCAAAACTTTGTTATTATGTGAAGCAAGCACAGGGTAAAGTATTTGGATGTTCTGCCAGTT